GGGGGGGGGGGAAAGACATGAGACATGTCGCTCTCGTCGCCGAGGATGCCCCAGCCTTCGAGTCCACCAGCTCCATGGTGATTCCGTCGCTGCACCCAGAGCAGAGCCAGAGCAGAGCCAGCAGAGCCAGCAGAGCCAGAGCAGAGTTCCCTTCGACAGTCTCTTGTTGACTCCGTCGTGTCCCAAAAAAGAGCTTCTTCCCCCTTTTTTTTTTAACGAATCGAGGCCAGACATGACGATGCAGCAGGGCTATGTGCAAGCCTCGGGAAATCTCTCTCCGGCTCAGAAGACTCCCAAGTATGGGGGCCCGGGCCTTCTTTGCAAGTGAGATTCAGAAGGGAACTACCCTTTAGGGCCTCGGCCGTGTGTGTGTGTTTTTTTTTTTTGCGGAACCACCATCAAGCAAGGGCCCTCGGTTGCAATGTCTTTTGGAGCCGTCTTTCGCAGTCACCCACGTCGAATTCGCGTGGATTTCGCGCGAAGGTGCAGCCTGGCATGAAGCCGAGACAGGGCAAAGGACGGCCGAACAGAGATTGGTTTGCCTCGGGCCACTTGCAAGATTTCCTCGCCTCTCTTCGGCCCAGCAGGAAATCGCCCCAAGAACGACGGGTCTCAGGCAAACCCGCGGAACAGACTTAGTTTGCTGATGGATTGAGGGCTCGCTGAAAGCCGAAGCTTGACGTCCCAGAAGTTCACACTCAGACGATCTCTCAGTGCTGCTGCGACTAGGGACTAGGGTGCTGACGCTGGTGATGGTGATGCGCTGATGTTGGCGACAGTGATGACACTGGAGGAGGAGAAGATCGCTGATGATGCCGAAAAACCTAGGGAACTTCGAGGACCAGTAAAGCCGTTGGCCTTTGCAGGCCTGGGGTCGCCAAGGCCAAGATCGTTCAGCAGAGCCGCATCCTCAGCAGATCTCTGCTCTCTCACTCTCACAGAGCCCCCAGCAAGGGATCCCTTTAAAGAGAAGAGGGCTTGGACGGCTTGAAGCATTCGAGCCCAGGCACCGGGACCCGCCGAAGCGCACACGCGATGGGCAGCCCGAACCTTGGGGCCCAGAAGAGAAAGCCAGGCAGAATGTGACGAAATTTCGCAGGCTGAGCCGCTTGAAAGACGAGGACATCACCCATCTGGAGCCACCCTGGGAGAATGTGCGCCTATACGGACCTGGTTAAGTTTGCATGCAGGTTGTAGACCTAGCAGGGCCTAGCACTTGTCATTCTCCAGTCCAATCCCCAGCACCGTCGGCTGCACGTAGTCGTGTACGCCAAACACCGGCCGCATTCATTCCAGTGTTGAGCATGGGTAATTCAGAAGAGTATTTGCGGACGTGTAACTTCTCGACACAAAGCACTGCAGGCAAACCCGGGATGTTTTTGACAGGTCACGACCGTGATGATGCGGAACCTACCGAACAAGTACACGCAACAAATGCTGCCCAGGACCCAGCTTGCGGTGCTTTGCCGTGCTTTGCACAGGATGCAGCAGGCAGCAGGGACTGCAGTTACTGCAGGGAGGTGCATCTAAGGCTCGGGGAGCTGCGAGATGCTGGCTTCCACATGCAGGAGAGGGCCAAGTTTTGCAACTTGGATTTGGCTCTTCCCTCCCTCCCTCCCTCGCTCCCTCCCTCCCGCAGGAAGACTTCGATTTTTTCTACCTGCCGCACCGCCCTCGATGCCTAGGCCAATGATGGCTGTAACAGCCCCTGCTTCAGTCTTCGCCGAGAGAGTGCGTGCTCTCTCGACTTAGGATGGACCACTGCAATTGTGCGAATCTTGGCCCTGTCCTGAGAGTGTGTTGCCCCGGAATTCGGTCAAACACCCGGTTCCGGTGCTTCCGTCCAAGGCTATTGCTTCATCAACTTCACGAAGACAGCGAGGCTGCCGCCTTCCATGGCTCACTTAGAGAGTCAGTGTCCCTTTAAGGGGCAGCTTGCGCTCATTCGCACGTCAGGAAAGGGGATGTCTCAATCTCTTTTGCTCGCTTCGCAGGGCAAACGACTTCGCCGGTGCCTTCAGTGGGAAGCGTATGCGCCCAGCTCGGAGGTCTAGACTCCAAGTACCGAGGTCACTACTGGTACTAGTACCACTACTACTACTACTACGACGACGACGACGACGACTACTACTACTACTACTGCTACTACTACCACGACTGCTACTGCTACTGCTGCTGCTACTGCTACTTCTACTGCTACTGCTACTGCTGCTGCGGCTGCTGCTGCTGCTGCTGCTGCTGCTTTCATTTTTGCCAAGCGAGCTGCGTTTTTTGTCTCCGTCTCTTGGCGGAAGACTACAGCTGGACACAAAACTTTCACTCGATCTGGAAATCTTTCGGGGACTGCGCGCGGAAGGACGCGGAAGGGCTGCGGAAGGAATTGCTCCGCGGAAGGGCGCGGAAGCAACGAATACGCAAGCCGCCGCGCCCGAAGAATACATCTGCAGTAGGGTTGCTCCCGTGGAACAGAAAGGAGGTAGTGCAATACGTCAGGAGGGGTTTATGCTCTTGCGGAAGGGTTCGTTTGCAAAACGGTCTGCGGAAGCGCACGCGGAAGGGACGACATGCAGTGACTTGGAAGTCTCCCAACTTCGAGGCACCCGAAGGCTGAGGGGGCAGTGCTGGAAGGGTTGCGCCGAAGGGGTTGTTGCGTCCTTGGGATTGAAACAGCGTGTTGCCCCTCGTTGTAGCCCTGCTACCACTCCTACCACTTCAAGGACGACTGTGGCAGGGAGTACTGCGATGTGTGTTGTCGCCAAGGCGTCGGTTCAACTCGCACAAGCAGCTGCCCCAGGATTTGGGCCGCTCTCCCCTTCCTAAAGAGACGGGGAGGCTTCTTGCTGCTTGCTTCCTAAGGACCGCCGTGATCATGCCAGCTTCGATTCAGGGGCGGGGGCCTCGAAGAGTCACATGTACAGTGTCGCAGGGGCTGTTGAGCTGACGCGTTTCGCGACGGATGGCTTGAGAGTGTCTAACGAGTCTGCTGCAGTGGCACTGCTCCGAGAGTACTGGACACGGTTTTTTCCAACTGAATTTGTGCCTCTGTGGCAGGCAGCCCACCCATCCGTGCCCCTCTTCGCGAGGTATGAGCAGAATTATACATACTACATCTCCACCCGTGTCGCCCAAGCAGCTGATCCACAGCATGGGCCCGAGCCACCTGAATTCGCTCTGTGCCATCGCCTTTCCGGGTTTGCTCTCTTTTTTGTGTTTTGGGTGTCTGCGGTTCATAGGTTCTGTCGGTGCTGTCGGCTTTAGGGTTTATGGGCTTTGTAGGGTTCACAGGATTCACAGGGTTTAGGCTCTGCCATTCTGCCATTGGAACGTTGGCAGGATTTGTCCTGACACGGTCCAGGTATCGGCCGCTGTTTCTGCGGCCGCTGCCTTCAGTTGACGTCAGCTTGGCTCGGGTCCAAGAGAAGTTCAGCCGGATTGGTAGTTTTTGCCGAATGCAGGTACATCGACTGCACATGTAAACCAAAAGGAGAAGATGCAGGGAGACATGGAAACTATGGTACGCGTCCGTACGCATTCACAAATATACCCTGATGCATGCATACGTCAGTGAGGAAGCAAGCACGCAACAGGACAGTTGAATAAGCGCAATACATGTATTGCATATCAAACACAGACAGATACGTTTCATCAGCCCAGCACTTGAAAAAAGCACATGGACAGATGTGCGCACGCACACACAGAGTGCTGTCCCTGCTTGTGGAGTGCATAGACATAGACCTGTAAACATGCAACATACATACTCCTGCGCATATGCACAAACTTGCGCTTGCCCAAGCGCCTGCACGTGCATACTCGTACAGACACCTACAAGTACTTCGTACATGTGCACGTCGACATCGGCGCAGATGCATAAGATGACCTTCCGCATGCAGATGCCTACCAGGACCCAGGCGCACATGCACATGCACACCAAAAGGAAGACACACCTAGGCCGCATTACAGATGTAAGGGCCGGAGGCCTTCAGAGCTGCAACAAAGAAATTTTCGAAGTTGCAAGGCACCAACTCCGACTAGCGGGAAGGCTGGGTTGAGGGCCTCAGAGAGCCAGAAAGCCAAGGAGCTTCCCTGCAGATCGCTCACTTATAGCTCAGTAGAGCCTCGGCAAAAAGCCTCAGTCCTCAGAGCGATAGCTTCGCTTTGGCAGGGCAAGGGCAGCGGCAAGGCTCGATTCGGGGATCACCAAGCGACCTTGCTCAGCATTGCAAAATTTGGTCCCCTCCGCCAGGACCGCGGGAAGGACAGGGGTGGCCGCGGCCGACGGAAAGGCTGGGGGGCCTGTTGTCGGTTGCAGTAACAACATCAAAGTTGCATATCTACATAAACAATTAGTCAGATACATGTCTATGTACGTGTATATATATATATATTTATATGTATTACTTATATATATATATTGTTTTTTTAATTATCTGTCCATCGCTTCTGAGAGTGCACCCCCAGATCCTCTGGAGGTCTTAGGTCAACTTGGCACATGGTAGAGCGGTTTAAGTTCATTCGGCTTGCGCAGCGGGGTCGGCCCGAGTCGCCATCAGGCTCGAGGCGAATGGCTTGTCATGCAAGTCTGAATCCGGCTGCCAGGCGACTGGGACCTCGGTGGCGAGGCAGAGGGCAGAGGGGACCAGAGGGGAGCAGAGGGGAGCAGCCGTCTATCGCCGTGGCTGGCAGGCGATGTTGGGAGGAGGCCAGGCAAAAGACGCCAAAGCATGCTGACAAACTCTGACATGCTTTCAGGAGACTGGAACTCGAAGGATGAGGCACAGGGCGGGGGAGTCGGAGGGTGCAAGAGCCGCGATCTTTGACGAGGACTCCGGTCGAGTGATTCCTCCGCAGATCCCGGCGGCACCCGTTCAGCAGGACTACCAGGCTGCTCGTAGCACGTTCTGCTCCGAACATTTTTGCTTCGGTCTTCGGTGAGGGACAGAGAGTCTGGTCTCTGGTCGCAGCAAGGATGGAAAAAGGTACGGCTGGCAGATTTTTGGTGCTCCAGGTGATGTGCGCTAACTGCGGAACACTCTGCGGCCCTGGACTCAGCCAGACCCTGTCATCAAGGTAATCCGAAAGATGGCGTCTGTGTGTGTCTATGTGTGTCTCTGTGTGTGTGTGTGCGCCTCCCTTGAGGCTCCAGCTACCGCTTCTGTTCCTTCTGTGGGAACCCTCTCTGGGATGCGGCAGGGCTCGGAGGGCCGGTGATGATGGCGGCGTGCCCCCGGGGGGGCCACCGTGCAAGCTAGGGTTTCCCCCCCCAAAGAAATTAATAGTTAAGAATTTAAAAGCAATCTAAATAATATAGATAGAATTCATGCAATAATTATAAAAACAAAACAATCAATATTAGCTAGACTTTCATTCCGTTCGGCACTACTTGGCAGAGAACCACAGGCGTTGAGTCGAAAAACGTTGAGGAAAATGTTTGATCGAGAAGCCTTTCTAATAAATACAGGAATTCCTTCTAATATTAAATATACATAAAGCAAAAATTAAATAAAAAAAATAATCAAATATCAATAAAAATAACAAGATTTGTATGTTAAATATATTATTAAAAATTATTTCATTACGATACATTACCTTTTCTTTATTGTTTATTAATTCTTCTCTTTTTATTTATTTATTTTTAGCTATTATGATTTATATTATTTTTATTTCTTATCTTATCTGAATGCTTTTTTCTTGTTTGAATTCCTCATCGACATCATTGTCCGCCATTGATTCATCTGGATCGCTGGCTTCAAGTATGGACGGAGATGAAATATGTAGTGATGGAGTTGGCTCCTTTGTTGTTGGAGTTGGAGTTGGAACCACCCCCCCCCCCGGCGCGTTGCCGGTTTTTCAGAACTTCCTCGTCTTGAAACACAGGTATTTCCAGCCCGAGTGGCAGATGATGCCCGAGCTCGGCCCCTGGAAGCGCTTTGTCGCGGCTCAAAGCATGGCTTGGTTTCGATTGTTGAGTCGCAAAAAAAAAAAGCCGAGGCCGGCGCCGATCGAGTCGGCCGCTCCCGTGGAGGACACGCCCGGGCCCCGGGAGGCTCCTGGGGGCCTCGGGCCAGGTCCCTCCGTTACCTTTGGCCATTTCTGCCATGTCAAAAAGCAGCGTTTCACACGTGAGGCCCACGCTACCTTCCAACAAGTCCAACGGGAAGAAAGAGACCAACAAGGCCAAGAAAAAGGGGGCCAAACTCTCTCGGAGGAGCTGTTCTCTTCTCGCTGCTCCCCTTGTCAGATGCAGCAAGAAGAGACGGCCACTGAGGAGCCCCCGGCCGAGGCCCCTTGAAACAGCTGAAGCGACTCTCTCACCATCTCTCACCTCTTTTTGCTTGTGACCAGGAACTGGACATACTCCATGGCAGAATGATGCTTTTGGCCGCACTGAAGGCTGGCTTGTCTTTGCCTTGGAGCTGTCGCCACACCCGCAACATTGTGAGTCGAAGGTTGCGGGCTCGAAGTAGCAATTTTTGGATTCGTCGGAGCCTCGGGAATCCGCGTCTTCGCCGAGCTTGGTCCGTGTCGGCCTGCAAGAGGAAGGGGAGGGACACAGTCCATGTTGCAGCGGAAACCCAGTGGCCTCAAAGGACTTGGAGCGCGGCTCCATCGACACAGCCCAAGGACCGAACCTGTGGGGAGAGTCGTCCTTTCCCTGTGATCAGAACCTGAGAATCGCTCCATGGACGTGCCTGTGCGATGCTCGACGTTGCACTACAGCTCTTGTAGCTGCCTTCACATGCATCTTGTTCGCTTCATGGCCTTAAATGGCCCGTGATACTGGGCAAACTCTCCATGTCGCAAGAGGACTTTCGTTGAACTGGGCGAGTCAAAAAAAACTGGAAGTCCTACGAGGCCGTGCGTTTCCCAGCGTGAGCGTGAGCTGGCGAGAGCTGTGCTGGTTTAGGGGTTTAGAGTTATTAGAGTTTATAGGGGTTTAGGGGTTTAGGGGGTTTTTGGGCAAACTGACGCAGGTCACCCGGACCTGGTGCCTCAGGATGCGTTCGGGGCAGAATCCGGGCGCAGAAAGCCCGAAAAAAGCCTGAGCCAAGTGGTTTGCTCCATTCAAAGTCAAGGCGTCAAGGCCAAGGCCTTTGAGAGGAAGCTTTGTGCAGAACACTTGGATCGGCTTTAGATTGGACTCTCAGGAGGAGGCTCAGGTCAATATTTCCAGTCTAATCTCGTTAGCAAGCTAGAGGGTTTTTGATGCGCACAAAAGATCTATGCGACACCTCCGACCACACCCCGTATAAATGGCTGGCAGAGCCAGGGGCAGTCCAGTGCACTCAGAGGTGGGACATCTGTCCAACATCCCTGAGGCCTCTCCAAGAAGCTCAGCATACTGTGCAACCCATTGCTAAGTGAACTCGATAGCCTGGCAGTGTCCCTCACCGTGTGACGATCGGCTCTTTTTAAAGTCGTTGTGGTACGCTTTTCCATGGCAGATGCACATCCCAGAGTGTTAGCGCAATGCGTCATATCAATGCCAGATGTGGAAGAGCAGCCAACTCTGCACGAGAGGTGCGTTTCTGCGCAGAAGAGGGCTCGACCCACGACTTTCGCCTCTCCCCAAGTTCATAAGTTGTGGAACTTCGGGCGGGTCCAGAGTCCAGAGGCTGGCCATGGAGTCGCGATGCGACTTTAAGCATCGAATAAGAAGTGCAGATGTCCGCAGATATCCGCTTCGGGACCTGCCCAAAAGAGCCTTTGAAACTCGGCGGCGGGTAGGAGCCCACCAAGTGCAGCAAGTAGCAGTCTCCACAGCTGTTCTTCGAGGCAGCCTGCAGAAATTCCACCAGCTGTGCATGCGGCACTCTTCGACTACCCGGTGCCGCGCAATGAACTGCCCAAGTATCATCCACCAATTCTGGCTGCATCCAGTGCCACTTTATACCACAAGGCAAACGGTAAACACAGACACACAAAGAGACATGCACACATACGAACCAGTACCTGTACATGCATATACTTACAAAGCACATGTGTGGTGTAAGTATACACCAGGCGTGATTGCATGCACGCTGATGTAATATATATATATAGAGTGTGTGTC